AAAGCTCTTCCAGGTCAATGTGAAGGGTGATTTCCTTGTTGGGCTCAAGTTTATGACTCAGCCTAGACCTAGCTTGGCCTCTCAGCTAGAGAAGAAGCATGATTCCATGTCACACACAGCTTCTGTCTTTGAAAAAGCCATAATGACTCCCAGACCCAACATGTGGGGCAAACTCTGGATTTTTCTCTTCAGTTTACTCTCTCCAGGGAAAATTGAGGAAAGAAATCTCTCTACTATTTGAACTTCATCAAGACTAATATGTTAATATTTTGACTGTCAATATTTCCTTAAACTAGTCTACTCCTTACATAGCTAATACATCAAAGCATGTTAACTTAGGAAATTGGATTCTCCATAACAATGAAATATTGACTGCAAGCATTATTAATCTTTTTATATCACATTTCCTTCAAGTGCTTTATACATCTTCAAGCAGACAAATAACAGTATTATAATGATCACAAGACCGATCATTACTCTTCTGCCAAAAAAACAGCGACAAAAGACTAACTCAGTATACCAACCTTTGTTTCTTCATTATCTCTACCTTGATTCTGTCCTTTCATTTCCTCTTTCCTCTAATTCTAATTTTGCTTCTACTTCTTATTTCCTCCCTGAATTAGAACTTTACTTACCTAAACTACCAGTTAGGTTACCTTCTCAGAACCACTAAGGCAGCAGTTTGAGGTTGACAGTTGAAGATTTAGGATTAGAGAAAAGAAACATGAATGAATTTCTGATGTTTTATTATAGGGGTTTGTAATGCAGGTAGAAAGACCTTTTTCAGAGTTAAGAGTTTGATCTGACAAATGAGCTATTTTGATATTTATGACTTTGTCTAGTAAAAGTTTCCTGTAAAAACATTTGCTTTGGATGTCTTTGTTAGCTTTTAGTCGACACTTGAAAAAGCCGCTTGCAAGTTTCTAAGTCTTCCTGGATACTCTTTTCAGCTATCTTCCAGGAAGCTGGTACAGGGAGGCATTGGCGATTCAGTGGTAGAATTCTCACCTCCTACAGAAAGCTGGTACAGGAAGGCATTGGTGGTTCAGTGGTAGAATTCTCGCCTCCCACGCGGGAGACCCGGGTTCGATTCCCGGCCAATGCAAGAGGTTTTTGTTCTTCTCCACAGTTCTTTACCCTGAAGCTCCCAGAAGGAGAGGAGCTGCAGGCGGGGTAGTCACGTCAGAGGTCCAAGAGGCCTCCATGGCCCAAAGAAAGGGGAGGTGTGTGGGGAGGAATCTGCGTAGAGATGAGGGGAGCAGCGAAGACTGCTCCTTGCGCCGGGGTAGCCAGTGGACCCTCCGGGCTGTACCCCAGACACTGTGAACCGAATTTGCTAAAATCGTCAGCCACCTTGGCCCCGGCGTGTTTTGTGGGCCTATCGGTGTTCCGCGAGGGATTCCGTGTGTCTGGCAATCTGCGTCAACAGGTGTTGGCCTGAAATTTGGCCGGATACGGTGGCTCACACCTGTAATCCCAGAACTTTGTGAGGCTGAGGCGGATGGATAGCTTCAGGACAAGAGTTCAAGACCAGCCTGGCTAACATGGTGAAATCCCGTCTCTACTAAAAATACAAAAATTAGCCGATTGTGGTGGCATGCACCTGCTATTCCAGCTACTTGGGAGGCTGACGCAGAAGAATCGCTTGAACCCAGGAGGCGGAGGTTGCAGTGAGCCACTGCACTCCAGCGAGTCCGTCAAAAAAAAAAAGGAGTGAAAGAAGGCAGAGGTGTTGATGGGACAATGAGACTTCCCAGGAGGCTTGGTGTAGAGGCAGGGGCCGGATCCTGAGAGATGAGATTTTTTTTTTTTAATTATGTAGCAGAATGGGGAGAGAGAAACAGAGAAGCGCATGAAAGAGAGAAAAGCACGAAAATCTCCAGATGTTCAAGAATAAAGCAGAGAAAGTAGTATGAGTGTTTTTACATAAAAAGGATAAGAAGTACAATGGTTGTCAGCAGGCCTTGTGGTCGTGTAGTGGTTAATACCTGTAGTTGTGGTTCCCACAACCTGGGTTCAAATCTGAGTCACTGCAATGTTTTCTATCTTGCGATTGTAGCTAATAGACTTGTCATTTGCTTTGCCTTTAATCCTAGCAGCCTCCAGAGAGCAGAGTAAACCACTGGCCTGGAAGGGCTCCAGCTTCTGGAGTTTAGCCCACTGTGCATAAACTAGGGGGGCGGCCTGACCACAAGGAAAACTTGGACATGCCCTTTGTCTCACAATTGAGCAGAAAAAATTCCCATAGGTGAAGATGCCACCTCTCAAGAGCCCTTTGTCTGTAGCTTCCACTGTTGAAATAATGTGGTTATAGTATTTTCTGGTAGAGAAAACAGCTGTATCAGTGGGATTTTTAAAAACACAAAACGAGAACGAGCTTTTAATGAGTTTACAATAAAATCTAAACTACTTGTGATGATCTACACTGGCTTGCCTCCATTCCGCATCCACTAATTTTTATGAGAACAGTAAATTACTACTATTATTATTATTTTTGAGATGTAGTCTTGTTCTGTCACCTGGGCTGGAGTGCCACGGCTCAATCTCGGCTCACTGCAACCTCCGTCTCCCGGGTTCAAGCAATGCGAACAGTAAATAAACTACAGTTCACATAAAGTGCACAAATTTTTAGTGCAATTTGTTTAATTTTGATAAATGTAATCACCACCCAGCTCAAGTTTTAGAAAATTGCCATCATCTGAGAAAGGCCTGTTAGAGCCCCTTTCCAGGCAATTCCCACCCTGTGTCCTCTTAGTTAATCGCCATTCTGATGTCTATTCCCATAGGTTACAATTGCCTGTTCTTAAAGTTCTCATGAGTAAATGGACATATCTTTTGTGTCTGGCCTTTTTTCTGCAGTTATGTTCATTATACTCATGAGACACATCCACGTAGTTTCATGGATCACTTCTCAATTGTGGTGTTACTGAATTCTTGTGATGAATATTCTTGTAACAGTCTTTTTGTGCACTTGAGATTCATGGAAGTACTTCAGTTGCTGGGTCATGACCTGAGTATAAGTTTAACATTAGTACAAATTGCCAGTCTTCTAGAATGTTTTTTCACCAGCAGTGACAGTTGAAGTGGCACCAAATTCTTGTCAGCATTTGATGTACTAACTTTGTTAAATATAGCTGTGCTCTCAGACCACTCTGATCAACATGGTGACACCCCGTCTCTACTAAAAATACAAAAATTAGCCGGGCATGGTGGCATGCACCTGTAGTCCCAGCTACTCAGGAGGGGGAGGTTGCAGAGAGCCAAGATCGCACCGTTGCACTCCAGCTTGGGTGACAGAGTGAGACCCTGTCTCAGAAAAAAATAATAATAATAAAATAAAGTACCCATACACTGGTAAGTGGTTAGTGGTGTCTCCGTGTGGAATTAATTTGTACTTGCCTAATGAACAATACTATGAAGCATATTTTCTTATGGCTTCCAGCATATAAGAAATTTTCCTTTGCAAAGGCCTATTCGAATATTTTGCCTGATTTTATTTGGCTTAGCTCTATATTACTGATTTATGAAATTTCTCTTATATATTCAGGAATTCAGTCATTTTTCAAATAAATATATTGCAAAGAACTTTTCCCAGTCAGTGACTTGACTGACAACTGAAAGCTGTCAAGTGAAAAATCACACAATTTATAAATTTAGAAAGGAGATTTTATTTTTTATAAAGGGTTACAGCCTGCAAGGCGGCCATTCTGCCAGACTGGGAGGTATACCCTCCTGCTGAAACCTGAAAAATAGGTTTCCAGGAAGGGGAGGGGAGAATAGGGATTTATGTTGATCTGGTTGGCCACATATATTCAACAGGGAATAGGAGGAGCTCTGAATATTCATGAAGGGATCCTGCTGCATGCATGCTGAGTAAACATGCCTGTCACATGCAACCCATGTTCACTTTGGGGTGGAGACAACATTTAAATACATTATAGTTAGGCCTTATGCTTCAAAAGGTGAAGCAGAGACACAAAGGCAATCAGGTGCACAGCCTCTGTAAACTGTCCAGAACTAGTCCACAGCCAGTGGTCTCTTATCGGGAGAAAGTTACTGAAATCAGCCTCTTGTCCAATCAAAGCTGTAGTTATGGCTTGTGTAGGGAGGGCTCAGTCAGTTTATGGTAATGGGTGAGCTGCAAATGCTTCAGCATTGCTTATCTCAAGGCCAGTACTTGCTTAGCTAGAGAAGAAAAGAAAGAAGAGAGAAAAAAAAAAACTGGCAGTTAGAACATAGTTTATTTTTTAAGTTGAGGGATGCATGACTTAACCTTGCCTGGCATGGCCTTAGGTCTTGTTTATAATATAGTATCTTACAATGGTAAGGAGTCTGTTCTGTCAGTCTTATGATCTCTATTTTAACAATAATGCTGATCAGTTACGTCTAAACCACAAAAGGGAGAGAGAATAAGGACAGGTGTCTGACCTTCCAAATACTGATCAGGAACTCAGTATTTAAGACTTCTCTGGGATCTCCTTGGCCAAGATGAGGTCTGTCCAGTTGGTTGGATGGCTTTGGATTTTAATTTTAGTTCTCAAAGCATTTAATTTGATGAAATTTTTTCTTTATTTTTAAAGTCTGTTATGTTCTATAAGAAATCTTTCTACTCAGGATAGTGAATGTATTCTCTTAATTTTATCTCTCTATAAGTTCCACAGTTTTACTTTTAATTTTTAAAATGATGACATCTAAAATTCTACTCCTAACCAAGACATTCTTGGGGGTTACCAAGGACAACTCCAAAAATCTTCCATAAATGGTCAAAGAACTTACTGGGATCCTGGGCTGCAGGGCACAGTGGCTTTAGTGCACCTCTGCTTTTAAGACTATTCAGAAATTGCCTTTGTGAACCCATCGGGCTGTTTAAAAATCAGCAACTTAGGGCTTGCACGCAACATGCAGTTATGCAGCAGCTGTTTTCTGGATCTCGTGAATGCCTACATGCATACGTCCCCGGGAATTTTCTAAATTTGATCTCTCATGGTATTTCAAGTGGCTTAATTGTCTCTTTCTTTTGCCTGTTGCCACACACATACCACCAAACCCTGCACTCCAAGCTTCTCCTTCTGCACCCTGGACTCCCAACCTCCAGTTAGACAATCCACATCTTCCCACAACTGCCTCAGGATCCTCCAGGCCACTGTGCCTCCTGCAGCAACCAGGCCAGGGGATATCTGGATTCCTATTACACTTCTGAGGAAGGTGGTTAGGGGGCGTGGAGGATGTGTGTGGGAGGGGTTGAGGTTGAGGGCAGGAGTATACTGTGGTCTTCTGTCTTCTACCTCATTGGCCCAGGTGCTGCTCTCCCTCCGGTTGTCTGCTTTCAGCCCTGTGTGGGAAATCAGGTCTGTGCCCTGATCTTCCTGACTCTCATTTTGTGAGTAACCTGAACAGATGAGCCATCGCTCTTGCCCCACACATTCTGTCCAAAAAGTGCCCTCCTCTCTACTTGCTCGGAGGCCTACCCACTGAGCTGTGGCACTCAGGCTGGGATGCCACCCAGTACAGAGGCTCTGCAGCCGTGCAGGGGTCTGACTGTTCCACACCAGCAGGATACAGGCCACAGGGCATGCTGTGGTGGAAAAGCATTCAGAGGTGTGGGCTGAAGGCCTCTCTTTCCACAGTCCCTTTGAAGACCCCATGGAAGTAGGCACCCCTTTGAGGAACAAGGTGGCCCAAGACCAAGCTTCACATGAAGGCGCTTGGGTCCCAGTAGGTCCTGTCTGTGTCTTGTATAGCCGACTGCTTCAAGCATCTTACCCGGTTTCCCCTCCTCCACTACCCAAGCTCCTCCTCAACCCCCTTGCTCAGCTATCCTTAGGACAGCAAGATCCCCAGCACTTGGAAAAGTCCCAACTCCAGTGCTTGGGGAGGGAGTTGGGTTCAGGTCGTCTAACCACAGAAGAATACAGAACCTGAGGCAAGAGGGAATCCCTTCCCTTGCTGGGTCTCTTGGCACAGCCCATCCAGGGGTCTGGGTCAGGGTCCAGGTATCCTCTACCCTCCTTGAGGACCTGAGTTTTCAGGCCCCCCGGGTTGGTCAGTGTGGAGTCTTTCCCACTGTTCATCTGGGAACTGTAGGAATATCCCATGGGGCCCTCTCTTACTTATTAGAGACACCCGGGAAATACTCCAGCAGAAACTGGGTGCAGTGTACCAGACCACAGTAATAATAATTATAGGATTAGGCTAATCTTTGCCTACCAACAAGTCAAAAAGTATCCTTGAAAATCTTTGCCTACCAACAAGTCACAAAGTATCCTTGAAATGCTTTATATCTTTAACTTTTAAGTTTTGGTCTATAATGCGTCTCAAGTTACCTTTGTGTGTAGAGTGAGGGAGAATAACATCACTGGCCTCCCCTACCTCCATATGAAAGTCCATTAATTGAAACGGTTTGTTTTCTTATATTGAACTGCTTTCAGTGAAAACCCATTTATTGACTGTATAGCTATGGGTCAGTTTCAGGTCTCTTAACTCAGTCCGTTTATCTATTTGTCACTCCTGATGCCTTGTCTATAATAGCTTATGGTCAGCCTTAAAGTCAGATAGTACAAGTCTCTGTTCTTTTTCACACATTGCAATCAATTTTGAAATAGGTAATAACTCATAAAACCATCACACACATCAGGACATGCTGTCACTTCATCCCTTTCTGATATGGTTTGGCTGTGCCCTCACCCAAATCTCAACTTGAATTGTATCTCCCAGAATCCCCATGTGTTGTGGGAGGGACCTAGGAGGAGGTAACTGAATCATGGGGGTGGGTCTTTCCCCGTGCTATTCTCCTCATAGTGAATAAGTCTCACTATCTGATGGGTTTATCAGGAGTTTCTGCTTTTGCTTCTTCCTCATCTTCTCTTGCTGCTGCCATGTAAGAAGTGCCTTTTGCCTCCCACTATGATTCTGAGGCATCCCCAGCCATGTGGAAATGTAAGTCCAATTAAACCTCTTTTTCTTCCCAGACTCTGGCATGTTTTTGTCAGCAGCGTGAAAACGGACTAATACACTCTCATTTCAGAGTCAGACACATGCTCTCACTCACTAGACTGGCTGCTGACTTGTGACCGAAGATTCTCTATTGTACCCTCTGGGAACAATACATCTCCAGTTGTCTGCCGGGAGGATGAACATGCAAAAAATCCACAACACTCAGCACAGAGTCTGGATTTAGTCCCATTAGTCTGAATGGGACTAATGCCCTTATAAAAGGGACCCCGGGGAGCTCTCTCGCCCTCTTTCTGCCCCCTGAGGATACAATGAGAAGGTGGCAGTGTACAGCCAGAAAAAAGAAAGTCCCTCACCATAACCCTACCATGTTGGCACCTTGATCTCGGACTTCCAACCTCCAGAACTGTGAGAAATAAATTTCTGTTGTGAATTAGTCACCCAGTTTATGGTACGTTATAGAAACCCCAACTAAGACAGAGATGGAATCCCATGGAGGGTCTCTAATTTGCTAAGCTGGTCATCAGGTGGGATGTTGTAAGTTAGAAACAGGAAGAACTGACATTTTGTGCATATGAAAGAAGACAGTGGACAGGCCCATTGTCGTCGGCTTTGTCTGCCTCGGCAAACTGGAGACGGAAACTCGATTCACCTTCTCCAGCCACGGGAGGACCGGGAGGACCTCCAGAGGAGGTTAGGTCGACTTCATGGTAACTTTAGATCCTGAAACCTCACAGGATTTTTCTTGTCTTCCCTTTGATCTCTTTTCCGCCTACCCAACAGGACAGGACTCGCCGCCTTTCTTTCGCGTCAGCAAGGGATCCCTTCCGGACAGGACCGAAGTGAGCAGCTGGTTTCCCCTACGCTTCCTTCCGGGCCTGGGCGTCACGAGAGCTCAGGCTGACCTGAGACCTAACTCCCGGCGAGTGGGACCAGCAGGAGCCTGGAAGAGTGCTCGCACCGGGGTGGAGATTGGGCGCTGGGGTTTGCGAACCGCAGTCAAACCCTCTTCCCTGCGCACCGCGCACCTGCCCCCGGGGGTGCTGAAGGAAGTAGCCCATAAAGCTTCTCTGCAACCGAAAGAAGCCTGAAGCTCCAGGAGGGGCGAGAGGAGACTCGTTGAGCGAACCCAGCCCTCTGCCTGGCTGGTCCTGGTCAACAGGCTCGGAAGAGGCCGATTTGGAGGACCTAAAGGTTTAGAATCTCATGATGTCAAGATGTTAAAGCCTAAATCCTAAGTTCTGACTGTGAGGGGGAGCGAGGGTGTCTTGAGCTGGATCGACCCTTGAGTCTTCACCTGGAGGGTCCTCTGCACAAGTTCAGAGAGCAGGACAACGCGCAGCAATGGTTCCCCACAGGGGGCAACTACACTCTCACACGCCTGTCCCATCCCCGCTGGGACACTAGGCCACGACTGGGGGAAGCGGGAGGGAGAATGTTAACCCCCTGGCATGTATCTAGTCAGCGGAGGCGACGGATGTTGCTAAACACCTTACAATCCACCGCGGGAGGGCCCCTCCCC